ACTTATGGACACTCGAAGGTGGCTCATCGTCATAAGCTTCAAGAGCTTTACGGATCCTTTCTGTCAATTTGGCACTTCTTGTACATGTTTATAAATAGTTCAACTTTGTTCTTGGATCCCAGGATGGCCACCATTTTGTTTTCAATGGAAAAACATCATGTATGGTGTGTGGGGGAAGTAGAATAAGATAAATCTGTTCTCAATTGGCAGATTATGAATATAGCCCCTTTTCCGTACAGCAGCACAAGAATACTTCGAATCAACAAAATTCTGGCTCTACATCATATAACTACCGTAACATTTCGGTCCAAGCACCAACTGGAGCAAGTGCCACGTTCTTGTAGTAGAAATAAGGAGGCCCAATAGCATCTTCTGGAAGTGTTCTTTGAGTTATCTGATTTGGTTTGGTAGGAACCCCAAAGCCAATCATTGGATTTAGAAGAAGAACTGCATGATCGTCGTCATTAAGAAGATTCTTTTCAAGCTTTCTTTGCTTCTTCCTTTTCCAAAAATCATATCCCAAGTTTTGCCTTTTCTTGTAATTGGGATCATTGCATAATGGCTTCCTATCTTCTACCGGAAGAAGTGCATCAGCAACCTTAGCCATTTGAGCAGCACATATAAAATCTGTCAACTCTGCAATTGATGAATATGGACCACATCTCTCAATGGCTATTGAAGCCTCAGCCTCTGAGTACCCCATTTTTGTCAAGTATAACAGTTTATTCTCCTCATAAGAATCAGAATTCAGGATTTCCTCGGTATCATAAGAAATATCAATATCTGTGAAAACATCCTGAAAGATCGCTTCATAATCAGATGAGTAGTTATTAGAATCAACATGTTGCATGAGTGCAGATTTTTCAAAAGCCTATACCATTGAGTTTTGTTCTCAAGTGATTTTGTGACATCATACAAAAATTCAGGCATATCTACATCTACACTCTCCATAGAGGATAGATTCTCTGTTCAAAGAAGAAAGATTTATTGGATTTCTACACAATTGAAGAAAGACCGAGTTCACCACTTTGAAATCAAATGAAGATAAACTTAACATTGATGCATCATATTTAGACATTTGCAAAATAGGTGCCTTTTCATTCATTTTATCCATGTTAAATATTTGACAGGAATTTCAAAGATTTTAGCAAAGATTCGAATCCATCACTCGATGGATTAACTTTTCCAGAGGAAGTTCATAATAAGAAGAACTCATCTGAAGAAGTTCATAATAAGAAGAACTTGTTTAACATTTTGCTTGAATTCATCACTCGATGGATTAACTTTTCCAGAGGAAGTTCATAATAAGAAGAACTCATCTGAAGAAGGAAGAAGAAGTTCATAATAATAAGAACTTGTTTAACCTTTTGCTTGAATTCATCACTCGATGGATTAACTATTCCAGAGGAAGTTCATAATGAGAAGAATTCATCTGAAGAAGGAAGAAGAAGTTTATAATGAGAAGAACTTGTTTAACCTTTTGCTCGAATTCATCGCTCGATGTATCAACTTTTCCAGAGAAAGTTCATAATGAGAAGAACTTATCTGAAGAGGAAAAAGAAGTTCATAATGAGAAGAGCTTGTTCAACCTTTTGCATGACTTTATCACAAAAGGAGATAGATCAGTATCAACATTTCCATAAGTGTCCATAATGAGAAGAACTCATCTGAAGAAGAAGAACTTGTTCAACCTTACATTAATTCATCACATAGGAAGCCAAATTAACAATACCTCTTTTGAAGATCAGCATTTCTAGAAGGAGTTCATAATGAGAAGAACTCATCTGAAAAAGAAGAAGAAATCTATAATTAGAAGAATTTGTTCAAAATTTTGCTAGATTACATCACATAATGAGATAAATTGTCATCCCTAGTGGAAAAGTTCATAATGAGAAGAACTAATCCCAGAGAAGAACTTGTTCAACATTGTCATCATAATCAAGTGAAATTGAATAGATAAAGAAAAAACTTATTATCTTTTCGTCTTTGTCCTATTCTTGTTAACACAAGAATGAGCAAAGAGGAGCAGCTGAAGATACTAATTTTTTTCATCCATTTGTTTTTATTATTATTAATATTATATTAGTATTATTTTATTTATACTATTATTATTATTATTTTATTATTTATTATTATTATTAGTAGTATTAGTATTATTATTACAAATAGGTTCATTTTACAAATCCCGGAGCCCAACAGTAAATCGAAGCCCATTTTACAGAACCCTTACCCAGATCTGAGAAGCCCAACTCGAGTTAGCCTAATAGAAACCCTAAACTAATTAGGGTTTGTATCATCACATGCTTCAGCCGCCGCTCCTTTCAGTTGTTGGATCTGGTAAGATCTAACGATCCAAAGCTTTCCAGAAATAACCCTAGGGTTATGATACCCTAAGAGCCACGCGGCCGCCACTCCTTGCTGCCACCATCTCACTGTCGCTCCCGCAGTTCCACGTCTCAGCTAGCTGTCGTTCTACGCCCCGTCGTTTCAACAGAGATCAAGGGAGACCGTCCACGTTATGGCTTTAGGGTGAGTCACCACTGTAAGTTTGGTGACTCACCAAACGATCCTCCTTTACCTGGTCTGAAACAAGCACTGTGGTGGCCTATAAAGCCACCACCGAATCTGCAAACAAGAGGACCAGCAACCAAGAGCCACAAACAACAAAAACCAACAAATATTAAACTAAAAGAGAGAAAACATACCGAAGAGAACTCAACGGTCACCGGAGAAACTGCAAACATCCAACCGTCACACAAAGATTCAAAATACCCGAAGGTATTTTTGTAGATTTACGTAAATATGAGATTTTTTTATGGTAAATGGGGGTTGGATTCGGTTTTAGATCGTTCCGATCTATATTTTGAGAGAGTTTTCTATTTTCCGACCACCAACGACGGTGGCCGACGACAAGGTTGGTGGCGGCAGACGGCTTCTGGCCGTTGACCGGCTTCCCTCCGGTGAGGGAAGCTAGAGAGAAGCAAGAGAGTTTTAAAACTCTCTCAGTTAGAGAGAGGAGAATAAGAAAAAAATGGCCTTAAGGCTATAAGGTTTAGGGTTAAATACCCTTCCCCGAACGACGTTGTTCTGGGAAGCAGCCTGTGTGTAATTTGATAAGGGTAAAACCCTTTCCGCAACCATCTTAAATTTATAAATTTATATTTTAGTCACTGGTTTTAAATTACGAATGTTTTAATTCGGTCTGTGAATTTTTTTTCTTTATAATTTAGTCCTTTACGTAATTATATATATTTTAGCTAAAATAACTGAATTAGCCATTATGATTTTAATAATTATTATTTTAATCATGAACAACATATTTTAATTTATTTTAATTTAATGTTCGAATTTTATATAATTTTATTTCAGTCCCTAAATTAAATAAATATAAAATAACATGTTTAGTCCTCGTAATTTTAAATAAATAATTACGAATTAAGGTATCTAATTTTAATATGTTATAATTTAATCACTAATTTTAATTTATTTATGATTTTTATATTTTAATACCCTAGTTTCAACTTTGTCTATTTTAGTCACTGTTTATTCATATTTTAAATTTCAATATGTTTATTTTCAATATAGTTAATTATTATTATTGTTATTATTATTATGTAGTTATATAAAAATATATAATAAATAATATTTATTTTTTTCTATTTATAAATTTAACTTTATATAAATTACTTTTAAAAAAATAATCATATTTTAATATATATTTTTAAAGAAAATGGTTGTCTTAAAGCACCTAGAAGTCATTTTTCTGATATTTTTTTATATTTTATTTTTATAAATTATATATTAATTAATTATTTTTAAAGAAATGTTTTATTAATATTTATTTATTTTTAATATTAAGAAATGAGCTGTCTTAAAGCACCTAGAAGTCATTTTCTGATATTTCTAAGTAAATAAATATCTTATTTATAAAAATATAAAAATTAATATATTTTCTTAAAATTATACTAATAAATTTGAAATAACATGATTATAAATTAAATATATCTTTAAATTTTTAAATTTCTAATAATATGGACAATTTATAATTAATAATTACCAATTTTGGGCGTTATAGGGGTGCTAATCCTTCTCTAAACGTAATCGACCACGAATCCTTTTTTAATAAAATTTTTGGTTATATGCATATCAGTTTTATTTTTTAAATTATGTTTTATCCAAAACTATTTTAAAAGATTGTTTTAGGTATTTGACCTACCTAATCCCAAAAAAATCAATGGCGACTCCCAAAATATTTTAAAAAAAAACCAAAATCATTTACTTATTTATTTTATTTTTCCCGCCAAGTAAAATTTCGTGTCCGGGCAAAAACCGGTTACGACACAGATCTTGTCATAGACTCCAGTGCTCTGCATCCTACATGATTTGTTCAGTTTATTAATTAACAACCGTGACACAGCGAAATAGAACTTTGTAATTTGTACATGGGATCAGAAAACAAAAGTTCATGCCTCAATCTAACAGCTCAAGCATCAAGGAAGCATGTCATCCAATCATCTAATCACTGCAGTTTAGCCTTAAATGGCTAAAACTCTATCAATCATTAAAATAGCATCAAAGACATTATCTTCAAGCTTCATGTTTATGCTACACCTGCATCATCATTCCTATGCATTTATATTCAAGAATTAATAGAATCCTGTGCCTGTAGCGCCAAGGAACTAAACGAAACCTCAGACAAAGAAAAGATCCATTGCCAGTTTGCACTCATTTTATACAGAAACCAATGCACAAGTATTATTTATCCGCGAAAAATGAAAAAAAAAGGGTTTGCTACTTTAAGTTTTCACGGCCTTGGCTGCAACTTTCTAAATTGACAAAGCATATGCTAAATTTAGGATTATGTTATAGTACCTGGAGATTTGCTCTCCTTTTGCAACACCGTAGAGAGAAACAAAGCATGGAGTATAAGCAATTGCATTGAATTGTGAGCGAATCTTGAAGAATTTAGTTCCCCGAATATGTTTTCTCTTCAGGTTGTAACAAACTATGGCCTAATTATTGAGCAACATGAATATTTCTCCATTGCTTAAAACAATCAACGGTTCATAAGAATCTGAGCCATATCCCTTTGGAAACATATCTTTAATAATAAACTGTTTGGTCCACGACTCCTTGACACCATATTCCTTCATAACCCAAATGTCAAATTGCTTGAAATCCGGAAAGTGAATTATAAACAGACAGCCTCCAAGCACTCCACTCGTTGTAAACTCCGCAGCAAACTCATCTAATTCTAGAAAATGATCCGGCGGCAGAACTTTCCCAAAATGCTCGGTATCAAAGTCAAAAGAATGGATGAACTCACCACCACTAGGATGAAATCTACGCCAGTGAAGAGCTCCATTCAAGAAGGCATCGAAAGGTAAATCAATATAGCGATGAGGTGCATTTCCTATGCTTCTCCATGTACCAGTTCCATCTGTGTATATTTCAGCCGGTTTTTCAGTCGATTCAACAGTCGTATAATAGCTTTGCAAAAGTTTGTATTGATTAGTAACAGTTGAATAGCCAAGCCCCCAACACCTACTACTTCGACTATGCTTATCAGGTGGTTGAATAGTGATAAATTCACCCAAAATCGGGTTACAGATGTAAAAGGGATCACCATTTTCTGGTCCAACTAAACAAAGCAAATCATTGCAAGCACTCATATCAGAAATATCCCAAATGGGTACATTATATGTGGGTGTGAAGTTGAGTTTCGAGACATGAAAACTTTCACCAGTGGCATCAACATGCGATAACTGTAGCATCTTTCGATTTTTTCGGCGTGGGCTAGTGTTGATTAAAATGCAAAGGGGTGATTTTGAAAGGTGGAACCATGCAAATTCAGCTTTAGAAATGAAACAAAGAAATCTCTTGCAAACGCACCTGCAATGGAGAACGTCAGTGATGGCAAGTCTGCAAGTGTTTGGTGTCGGTTCATGTTTGCTGCTTGATGGTTCCCTTGTAGCTAGAGGTGCACAAAAAATTCGAATATCCGATTTTGTCTAAAAAATATCTGAAACCGGATTTTGGAAAACCGGTTTTTTTTAAACCGGATCGGATATTTAAAAACCGGATAGTATAATCGGTTTGGGAAAAAATTGAACGACCGGTTTTTTTACCGGATTAAAAACCGGTTTTTTATCCGAAAAAAATCCGTTTTTTTAAAAAAACTAGTTTTTTTGCAAACCGAAACTGGTTACACCATCCGACCCTCCAAACCGGTTAGGATCTGATCCGATTTTTTTAAAATCCGGTTTTTAGGTTGGGGAAAAAAACCAGATCGGTTTTTATCCGATCCGGATCGGATTGAAATCCGACTTCTGTGCATCTCTACTTGTAGCTTCCCTCTCCCTCAATTTGAACACTAAAAAGCTTAAGACTATTGTTAAAAACTTGAAAATGGGTTTAATGGTAAATGATTCAGTTTTCAATTGAGAAACTCTAAAAGAGTGGATTTTGAATTGGCTGGCACGGTTAGGGAAAGTGAAACACCTTTGTAATGTTAAATGTTTTTTTAATTATATTGGGTGATTAGTATCTTTTTTTAATCTTTTTAACTGATCATTATTACACACATCTATAAATATAATTGTTCAAATTCATAAAGCCTATTAAAAATAAATGATAATATTTTTTAACGGCAGACTAAAAGCAAAATTAAAATCATGTTTGATCATTATGTTTAATTTTAAAGAAAAAATAGTTCGATAACCAAAATAGAAAGATGAATGAATGATTAGATACATAGTTTATCATACTTTTTTTATTTAATTATTCAATTATTTTAATATTATTTAGTTGTTATGTTTTTAGGGTTTAGGTATATAATATTTCAATTAGTATTTAGTTTTAGGCTTAATATAAAAATAAGTGTCTAAATTTTGTCTCGAAAAATATTTTAGTGCCTAAAGATTTTTTCGTTAAAAGTAAGTGCCTAACATTTTCTCAGTTACACTTTTAGGTGTTCGGACATCAACCGCCATTAAATTTACCTTTAAGTGACATATATTACGATATGGTAATTTTGAAAATTTTATTTAAAATAAAAAATACATATATATATTTAAAAAACCTGGATTTTTTTCAAATCTTAAAAAAACTCAAACTTTTAAAATTTTAATTTTAATCTCTTTCCCACCGCCAGTCGTCACCAACACTGTCAATCGACTGGACACCCAACGACGTGTGACTGGCCAATCACCCGCGACCAAAAGCCTCATACTTTTGCAACCAAACGAACATCCAAAACTGATGTAAATGAAAATTTTTGTTTTAGGGTTTCAAATCCATAAAAAATCTCTTAGATTGATCGTGGTGGTCAATCATTTATGGTCGATCATTTATTGTTTGGTTGGTTATCGCAATCGGCGTGGCAGGGGAAAAGAGAAGGGAGAAAAGGGGAAAGAAGAAGATGATGCACTGTTCTGTTTTGGCTTAATGCCTAAATAAACGTTAGGCACTAAATTATAACAAAAGGTGTATGTTGGTCACCTTCTGTATATTTAAGCCTATTTTAAACACATCCCTAATTAGGTCTAGACCTTGATTATTAAGCTAAATGTATCTTAAATTAGTAACTTCAGCAGCATGTCTCCCAGCTACAACGCAGGCCTTGTATCAGTGAGAAACATGCCCAATAGAGGGGGGTAGTTCTGCTGTGCGGCGCCTAAAAAACGGCTAATATACGGCGTGACCGGTTAAACAAGTGACCGGTTAAAATTTAGACTGGTTATGTTATATTATTTAACCGGAAATATTATAAAGTACAATAACATATTAGGTAGCGCTTATATAATGTAATAGGTAGCGCTTATATTGACCTATTTTATAAGTAAAATGGTATATTTATACCGATAACATTGTAAATTTACCTATTACATTATAATATGTTGAAAGTGTCCATAATTTTTATAAAAAAGATCGATACTTTTTTTTAAGTTATGTAATTTATGTTTCAAATTTTTAATAGTGTTTCATGTTTTCCACCTACAATATTAATTTAATAATTTCATTTGCACAAAAAATTATTTGATGGTTTTGATATTTTATAAAATAATATTTAGAATTTAAATTTAACAATATTAACCAAATATAATAATAAATATGTAATATATATATTTATTGTTTTTAATTTAATGATAATATATATCATTTTTATAAAAGTGTCCATACTTTCAACATATCAGATAAATTTGATCGGTTTTGTCATAATGAAACTGGTTTTATCATAATTTTACCTGTTATATTGTAAAGTATCTATCATTTTTATAAAAGTGTCCATATTTTTTTCACTGTGGAAAACATTAATTTAAGGTTATCTTTTAAGTGAGTTTTAAGATATTAATTTAGTAATTATAGGCGTCTAATGATTTTTTTTTACGTTACGGTATATATTATTATTAAATTAAAAACAATAAACATATATATTACATATTTATTATTATCTTTGGTTAATATTGTTAAATTTAAATTCTAAATAATATTTTTAAAATGTCAAAACAATCAAATAATTTTTTGTGTAAATGAAATTATTAAATTAATATTGTAGGTGGAAAACATGAAACACTATTAAAAAAATTGAAACATAAATTACATAACTTTAAAAAAATATAGATCCTTTTTATAAAAAGTATGGACACTTTCAATATAATAGGTAAAAATATGATGTAATAGTTAGCTCTTATATAATGTAATAGGAAGCGTTTATATAATGTAATAGGTAGTGTTTATATTGTAAAGTATCTATCATTTTTTATAAAAGTGTGCATACTTTTTTCACTGTGGAAAACATTAAGTTAAGGTTAGTTTTAAGATATTAATTTAGTAATTATAGGCGTCTAATTATTTATTTTTTATGTTACGGTATATATTATTATTAAATTAAAAACAATAAACATATATATTACATATTTATTATTATCTTTGGTTAATATTGGTTAATTTAAATTCTAAATAATATTTTATAAAATATCAAAATAATCAAATAATTTTCTGTGTAAATGAAATTATTAAATTAATATTGTAGGTGGAAAACATGAAACACTATTAAAAAATAAATGAAATATAAATTACATAACTTTAAATAAAGTATCGATCATTTTTATAAAAAGTATGGACAATTTCAATATAATAGGTAAAAATATGATGTAATAGGTAGCGCTTATATAATGTAATAGGTAGCGTTTATATAATGTAATAGGTAGTGCTTATATTGTAAAGTATCTATCCTTTTTATAAAAGTGTCCATACTTTTTTCAGTGTAGAAAACATTAATTTAAGGTTAGTTTTAAGATATTAATTTAGTAATTATAGGCGTCTAATGATTTATTTTTTACGTTACGGTATTTATTATTATTAAATTAAAAACAATAAACATATATTACATATTTATTATTATCTTTGGTTAATATTGTTAAATTTAAATTCTAAATAATATTTTATAAAATATTAAAACAATCAAATAATTTTTTGTGTAAATGAAATTATTAAATTAATATTGTAGGTGGAAAACATGAAACACTATTAAAAAAAATTGAAACATAAATTACATAACTTTAAAAAAGGTATCGATATTTTTTTATAAAAAGTATAGGCACTTTCAATATAATAGGTAAAAATATGATGTAATAAGTAGCGCTTATATAATGTAATAGGTAGCGTTTATATAATGTAATAGGTAGTACTTATATTGTAAAGTATCTATCCTTTTTATAAAAGTGTTCATACTTTTTTCACTGTGGAAAACATTAATTTAAGGTTAGTTTTAAGATATTAATTTAGTAATTATAGGCGACTAATGATTTATTTTTTACGTTACGGTTTTTATTATTATTAAATTAAAAACAATAAACATATATATTACATATTTATTATTATCTTTGGTTAATATTGTTAAATTTAAATTCTAAATAATATTTTATAAAATATTAAAACAATCAAATAATTTTGTGTGTATATGAAATTATTAAATTAATATTGTAGGTGGAAAACATGAAACACTATTAAAAAAATTGAAACATAAATTACATAACTTTAAAAAAGGTATCGATCCTTTTTATAAAAAGTATGGGCACTTTCAATATAATAGGTAAAAATATGATGTAATAGGTAGCGTTTATATAATGTAATAGGTAGCGTTTATATAATGTAATAGGTAGTGCTTATATTGTAAAGTATCTATCCTTTTAATAAAAGTGTCCATACTTTTTTCACAGTTGAAAAAATTAATTTAAGGTTATCTTTTGAGTGAATTTTAAGATATTAATTTAGTAATTATAGGCGTCTAATGATTTATTTTTTACGTTACGATATATATTATTATTAAATTAAAAACAATAAACATATATATTACATATTTATTATTATCTTTGGTTAATATTGTTAAATTTAAATTCTAAATAATATTTTTAAAATGTCAAAACAATAAAATAATTTTTGTGTAAATGAAATTATTAAATTAATATTGTAGGTGGAAAACATGAAACACTATTAAAAAAAATTGAAACATAAATTTCATAACTTTAAAAAAAGTATCGATCCTTTTTTATAAAAAGTATGGACACTTTCAATATAATAGGTAAAAATATGATGTAATAGGTAGCGCTTATATAATGTAATAGGTAGCGTTTATATAATGTAATAAGTAGTGCTTATATTGTAAAGTATCTATCCCTTTTATAAAAGTGTCCATACTTTTTTCACTGTGAAAAACATTAATTTAAGGTTAGTTTTAAGATATTAATTTAGTAATTATAGGCGTCTAATG